TATTTCTACTAAATAGAAAAATCCCTAAAAAATATTTTCTAGCATCTCTCTAAGTTTACTTCTTAAAAATAATTTTTGTCCAATTTTATAAAATTCTTGGTTTACAAATTAAATCATTTATTGGACATATCATCTTTTCTTTGTTTTTTTTTTATGAATTGTGTAAATAATTTTCATTTAATTCTTTCTTTTGGGATAAAATTCAAGAAAAATATACATACTGATCTTTAGAATTTTCTTGACATTTAGGTTATCTTACACCAAATTTATTTGAAATTTAGACCAATTTGACTAATTTTAAACTTAATTTCCTTTTTTAGGGTTTTGTTTGATCATTCACACTAATTCATTAAAATTTCTAACATCCCATGCCTATAAAATCAGAGGTGAAGTTGTTTAGAGTGCTTAAACAAGATGAGGTCATGAAGATCATTTTTCTGGAATTTTAAAATATGATTTCATATTTTTTACAAATGGTTTTTCAAAACATCTCTAGTTTAAGCCTTTTGCTATCTAGTTTCAAAGTTTATATTTTTAAGTCAAATTTCCACCTCAAACCAAGAACTCTAAATTTTATTTCTGACTTCTATAGAACTTTAAGTAGTTTTTTAATTTCATAATTTTAAAAGTTATTTTCCTATTTTAAATATAATTTTTTACTTAAGTTTGTACTTAGGGTTTTACTTTTGATCAAGACTTATAATTGAGAATTTTTGTACATAATTCTTGTTTAACTTTTGATTTGGCATTTGATACTGACTTGGAAGTAATTTGGGGACAAATTCTTCAACATCATTGGATCTTGGATGTTGATAGGTTGAAAAACCAAATCCATCAAGAGGGATGAATGATGTTGATGATACTTGAAACCATTTTCATTTAGTACATCCTCTCCCTCTTCATCTTATCCCATTCTTACTTGTGCTAAATGTTATTGGAGATTAATTTACATATCATTTCTCAAAACATATGGTACATAGATTGTTACTGACCGGCCTCAAAATAGGTGTGATTTCTATATAAGTCCACTTACGATTGCTTAATATAGCGCTAAATTTTGACCCGATTCGAGAAATGATCATTTGTGGCCCAAATCCATGTTTGTAAGCCCAAGTATGTTAATTTTAATCCTTTGATCCAATAACTTTGAGATTCATTGTTAGGAGGCTTTGGACTTATCAATCCTCTAATGAATCTTCATAAACTTTTGTCAAATTGAATCACTTAAACATCGTTGATCATTTATTGTTGCCTTGAGAATTTTAAATAAATGATATACTTGACAAAAAGCAAATGAAACTTGTTGTTGAGAGGCTTTGATTTTATCAATCTTGTAATGAGTTTCAAATGCAAGTTTCAAGATGGTCATTTAGCTAACCTCTAATTTCTAATAATTGACTTTATTTTGTACTTTTACTTCATGCTCTTTACTTTAAGCACACTTATCTTAGCATTTACATTTCATACTATTTTCATCTTTGCTCACTTGAGCATTTATCTTTATGTAATTTTGTTTTGCTCACTTGGGCTTTTCATTTTCTTTTTGAAGATACTTAATAATCAACTTTAACCATAAAAACTTTAATGTTACTTGTACTACTTGGTTACTATCCTTAGCATTATGGACATTGTGAACTTCTTGGACTTTGGATTAGAGACCTTGACCTACTTTGGGACCTTGTGACTTCAACTGTTATTTTTTATGGAGTTCTTGGGGTTTACCCCAATACATTGGGTTGTTTGTTTGCTTTGTGTGCAGGTTATTATAATTACATGTTTTGTCTGTGATTGGAAATTCATCTGTATACAGTCGTTACTCTACCCGATTTTTGTGAAGACTTAATGCAATTGAAGCTTGGTTTTCTTAAGGGGTTTATTATCTTTGCTTGTATGGTTTCAATCCAAAGAATGGGAATTCTACATTGACTTATTGTATCAAGAGTTGGCTTCTTGTTGGTTAGACGGTTCTTTTCCCTAGCTTTTACTTTATGCTTTAGGATAGTCCCTTCATCTCCTCCCACCTTCTTTAATTTCAAAAATCTTCTCCCTCCTTTTGAAAACTCTTCTTGTTTTTAAACTTGAACCGTTTTCACAATAAACTTCGACTTAGGTCCATGCATTTTCAAAAATCCTTTCTTAATCAAAATTTAACCAACTTAAAAATACTTTGACATTTTTTGTGAGAAGACTAAACGTTAATCAATCTCATTCAAATCATTTTTCCACTTTGGATTTTTACTTTAAAACTCTTTTTCTCAAAAGATTAGACTCTTGTCAATCCTTGTAGTGATACGAACTACTATACTTATATGATATGTAGTGCAGTGAGATGTTTTCCACTTGGGTGTTGAGCAATTGTTGATTTTAAAATCCAAGCCATGTCCTCCACTTTGAGATGATGCAAATTCTCCTTTCTCATAATCGTGGGTAGTAAGTATGTTTTTCACTTCGATAAGACGATGATGTCTTGTCTCTTAAAATTAACCAACACACTTGTGTTTTAAAATTTTTAAAGGTGAACTACGAGTACCCTGATCCCCTATTGCACGGAAGGTGGTATGTAGGCACTAAAGGTTCGCAATCGCGGCAGGTGCAAAAATCATAAAAAAATACTTCTTTTCTCATCTCCATTATCTATTTTTATACAACATTTATAGCCAAAATACACATATTTTCAAAGAGGCTCCTGCAGAGTACTCTAGATGTTTAGGGTGCTAATATCTTCCCTTTGCATAACCAGTGGCGGAGTCAGAAAAATTATAAAGCCTGGGCAAAGAATTAAAGATCGCAAATTCACATTGCATATAATATATAAATAGTTATCAATCAAAATAAAAGAGACTCGTCATTTTGTGAACGAAAATATAGTTTAAAATAAAAGAGATAAACATAACCTTACAATAGCGGGTTAAATAAAATCAGGAGGCAAGTGTCCTTTTCGAGACTTCTTTGCGGTAAATGTTCGAATAATATAAATATCATCAAGTGACTTGAATATCTCTCGCTCGGTGTAACATACCATCAAGTCATTAAACCACGCACCGTTGATCTTATTGTGCAATTTAGACTTGATAATCTTCATTGCTGAAAAAGCTCTTTCAACGGATGCTGTCGACACCGACAATATCAAAGGTAACTAAATAAGTTTATAAACCAATGGAAATACCAAATGTTTCTCAGTTTGAACCATCTTCATAGTCAAACTTTGAACATCTTCACAAGTGGAAATGAATCATTTCTTCTCACTTGAAGAACATAAGTGTCAAGTTGATCCCTTATTGTTCCTCGGTCATCATCAGAAAAGTATGCATGATAAATATCAGCAAGATGAGCAAGCTTATCAACATTAAACTTGGAGAAAGAGTTCTTGGGGTCAAGACACAAGAAGTAATTGAGGATAATGTTACTTCCTTCTCTAAAGCAATGATCCATATCCACATATATTTTGTCAATAGCAACATAAAAAATCTTTGCACGATAATGATAAAGATTAGTGATAGTCCTCACTTCTATCCTTGAACGACCCCGAACCGGTATTTTGTCATCCATATTTAGAACCGGAATACCTTTAGCAACACAAAAATCTTGGACATCGGCAAATAAATTATCCCAACCACTCTCTTTTGTTGTGGCCAACCGAGCTTTGACATCATCAACTAATTCTATGGTAATCACAATATTAAGATCTTTTCTTTGCAAGACATTTGAAAGCTAGTTTGTGATACCAAACAACTTTAACATTAACTTTAAAATGAAAGAAAATTGTAATCTCTCCATTTTTTCTATCAAACCCGCTGCTTGAGATAGTCCACGTCCATCTTCATCAACCATACTAAGAACCTTTAACACGGAGGACCACATATGATCCAAACGAAGCAATGTAGTATGATGTAAACCGTATCTAGTATCCTCGGGTCTAGTGAGACTAGATGATTGGTGCAAGCCTTTTCCTATAGATATCTCACCACTCGAAAGTTTATTTAAAATATCTTGGTGTTGTGCCTCCTTCAAAGCATCCCGCCTCTTACAAGATGCACTTGTTGTGGTCACAATCAAGGAGATGTACTCAAAGAAATCATGAATAGATGAACAACTACTAGCAATAGACACAATAACTAATTGCAAACGGTGAGCATAGCAATGAACATAGAAAGCATAAGGGTTTTCATATAGAATTTTTATTTGCAAACCATTAAATTCACCTCTCATATTTGAAGCTCCATCATATCCTTTCCCTCGTATCCTTGAAATCGATAATGTGTACTTATCAAGAATATCATAAAGAGCATCCTTTAATGACTTTGATGTAGTATCTTTGACATGATGTAGAGCAATAAATTGTTCCACAACATTCCCTTTATCATTCAAAAACCTAAAATAAATTCAATAATTTTACTTGGCGGCATAAAAAATAATAGGTAATGAAAATTGGAAAATACAACTACTGACCTCAACATCACTGTCATTTGCTCTTTGATGGATATATCATGTGACTCGTCAATAAGCACGAAGAATTGTCTATCACCAAGCTCTTCCATAATCACCTTGGTAACTTCCTGTGCACAGCACGTTGGAAGATCCTTTTGAATGTCACCAGAAGTCATTGTGCAATCTTTTCCACCACAGTCAAAAGCATCCCTCACTTGTTCATTTTGAAATTTTACCCAATCTACCATGTCTCTAAAATTACCCTTATTTAGAGAAGTAGAGGATCCATCATGGTCATGGAAATCCATGCCTTATGCTGTGAGATATCTTGAACAATCTACAGAACAAGTCAAACGAATCTTATACAATTCTTCTGATTCCTTGGTTGCTTTAACAAACTTACTTGTCACACTTTGTCTTTGATTATTATAATCATCGTAGTGCTTGACACATAAGTTGTGAGAACTATTATGGCTACCAACGTGACCTTTCAAGCCTTGATATGTATGCTTCTAATCTCTATATCCGCTTTTAGTGAAGACTTCAAAACCAAAGTGCTCGGCCCTCCCAAATTACTTAAAGAGAAAGCAATAAAAATAATAAGCTACATCCTTTATCTCACTGTATTCTAACCATGTATAATTCTTATACCACGATTTACTAAATGATCTTTTAACACTCCCAAATGGAGTAGAAGGAAAGCTTGGCAAATCTGGTTGCATTGGACCCTTCAATATATATGCCATCCTCACTTGGTCTTGAATATCCAGAGCATACTCATTAATTTGTTTCCTACGACCTGGATCACGCACAATCTCATTTGGATTAAACTCATTAACCACATTAAACAATGGTTCTAATTCGGCTTCCGGTTGCACAACATTCATATTCTCAATATTTTCTCTAGCAACCAAAAATCTCCTCATCTTTGAACAAAAGATAAAATAGTTATAAAATTGTAGTTTCAAAAATTAAAAGAATAATAATCAAATAAAAAAAATAAGAATAAACAATGCTCTTCAAACAAATAAAACAAAATTTAAAACTCTAATAAATAAATTAGTATTTATAATTATACATGATTAATCAAACAACTTAAACTCTAATTAATAAATAAATTAGTACATGGTTAATCAAATAACCTATATTTTAATCAATAAATTAGAATCAAATATAGAATTAAACAAGTATAATATATAAACTTATTTCTACAAGTTTCATTTGAAAAATAGCAAGTAGCATAATCACTAATTAATTTGTAATTGTAAATATGTCAATTCAATTTTGTACTAGTTTGGTGGTTTAAATTAAACTTTTTGCATTAAACATTTGTCAACTTTCCAGTGAAATAAAAGTACAAAAAGAAAAAAATTATATATATGTCTATCTAATTCTTTACCAGCATATTAGTAATCTCTAGATCCTTATTTCTTGTTGTGACAAACATATCAAATAGATTAATAGACCAAGTCAAACACATGTGGTATATTTGTATTATATAAAAAGAGAAACGCACACATCTGCTATTTAATAATCAAGTTAAAGTTTTACATTACCTGCTGTAGAAATGGTATGGAACTGAAAGGGAAGTTGGCGACGACAGATTGAACATAGAAGGAAAGAGAACGGCGATGACTGCTATTCAATAATCCTTTCCCTCTTTAGGTTTTTCCAATTCTAGGTTCCACTATTTTTTTTCTTTTAATTTTATTTATTTAAAAAAACATGAATACTAAAAAAAATTGGGCCGGGCCGAGCCTGGGCATTTGCCCAAGCTGACCGTATGGTAGCCCATGTGCATAACCAACCCTCGAACTTAGATTTTCTTCCCTTTTTTGGGTTATTCGCTCTTTTTCTATTCCTTTGGAAACAATAATGCGCGGTGGCGATTTTTATTTGATTTGTGTGAGTCAAGTCAATCCAATAGCTTAGTCTCAACATTTCTACCGCTGCACTCAACAAGTTTCATGTTGCTTTTTTTCAAGTATATCATTCATTTCGATTGCTCAAAATAATCAAATATAATCAACAATGTTTAACTGATTCACTTAGACCAAAGTTCATGATGTTTATTAGAGGATTGATAGAATCAAAGCCTCCTAGCAGTGAACTTCAAAGTTATTGGGTCAAAGGTTTCAAATTAAACATACTTGGGTTCGCAAACATAAGTTTGGGCCACGAATGATCATTTTTTCGAATCAAAACAAATTTAACGCTATGTTAAGCAATCGTAAGTGGACTTATGTAGAAGTCCCACCTATTTTGAGGCCGATCAATAGAAATCTATGTACCAACATGTTATAGAAATGATATATATATATATATATATATATATATATATATATATATATATATATATATATATATATATATATATATATATATATATATATATATATATATATATATCATTCTCCAAAAACATGTAGCACAAATAAAAACAAGAAATGAATCAGATGAAGATGGAGGGAATGTATCAGATGAAGGTAGGGTTACAAATATCATTAACATCATTCATCCATTTTGGTGGGTTTGATTTTTCAACCTATCAACACTCAAGATCCAATGAGGTTGAGGAACTTGTCCCAAAAATAATACTCAAATCAGAACCAAACAAAAATAATAAAATATATTTAATAAAATAATACTTAAATATATATATATATATATATATATATATATATATATATATATATATATATATATATATATATATATATATATATATATATATATATATATATATATATATATATATATATATATATATATATATATATATATATATATATATATATATATATATATATCATTCTCCAAAAATATGTAGCACAAATAAAAACAAGAAATGGATCAGATGAAGAGGGAGGGGATGTATCAGATGAAGGTAGGGTTTCAAATATCATTAACATCATTCATCCATTTTGGTGGATTTGATTTTTCAACCTATCAACACTCAAGATCCAATGAGGTTGAGGAACTTGTCCCAAAAATAAAACTCAAATCAGAACCAAACAAAAATAATAAAATATATTTAATAAAATAATACTTAAATATTTAAGAAAAGGGAAATAATTGGTAAATTACACAAAATATGTTAAAGCACCAAATAAAAATTCTAAAAAAATATCAGAGGTCAAACATGAGTCAACAATTGTTGACAAAAAAATTTTAGAATTTTTTAAAGTCAGGAACTATATTTTAAAATTTAAAGAAATAAGAAAAATAAACCAAAATTTCTAAAAAATAGTAAAATCAAAAATAAAAAATAAAATGAGGTCACCAATATTTGTTAAGAGGTCATTGGATCCTTCCATATTTTTTTATAGAATTTAAAAGTCAAGAAAAACAGATTTTTAACAATTAAAACAAGTTAAATAAAGTGAAAAAATATAAAAAATACCAAATCACAAAATAAAATTGTGAAAATAAGTAAATAAATAAAAAATCAAAAGTATTTTTGAAATGATTTTTTTCACAATTTTAGAGGTTGAAATGAATTTTTTATGAATTTTTTAAGTTTAAAACAATTAAAATATAAAATCAGAAAATAAAAATAAAACCAAAAAAATATGAACCATTGGATCAATGTCAAAACGCGTTAGTAAGCTAATCCAAAGGATCAGACACGCTGTGTATATCATGGTCATTAGTGAATAACACACTGGATCAATTATTTATAAAAAAAACAGATTTAAAAAAACATACGTGAGGCTCTGATTGGTTGAAGACGTCCATGTCATCATCTTCAACCTGCAGATTGTTGAAAAGCCGACCGAAAACACACGATTTACAGGTCCTTTAATCTGTAAAATTAGAAGCTCAGACTAGTGTCATTCGCTTCGTCTCATCAAGATGATTCCAATGGTACCCTCGTAAAAAATTTATTTAAAGTGCAGCTCAATCGATTTGAGAAAAACCAGAGAGTTTTGAAAAAATTTGAAACCAAAAACAGATGTATCAAATGCATCGACTGATCAAAATTAAACCACCAGCAAGCATCAATGGACATCATAGACTATTCCAGTAATTTGAGTTAGAAGAATTGATGCCTTAAACTACCTGAACGAAGTATGGAAAAATTGCTCTGAAACTTGACTTGGCTAGTGCGATGTAGGTACTTTAAGGCTTGGTTCTTCTTCTGTTAGCTTCAGTGAAGTTAAAGGATGAAGAATTAAAAAAGAAATTGGATTGAAAAGAGCTCTAAAACCAAATTCAAAGTTGCAGAATTGAGAGGTATGGAGGAAGTTTAACAGAGATTTCCTGGCTCTCTAAAGTTTTCCAAAATGATGTAGAGAGGGTCTCTATTTATAGGATAAGTGAATGGAATCAAGAGGAGGGGTGAATGATGCAAGTTGAGTGGAAAACATGCACAAGTTTGATCATTAGAAGCCACATTAAGGAAATTGCAATCTGACTGCAGGTGAAACTTTAGTTCTAAGGTACCAACTTTGAATCCATGGTGCACACAACTCAGGAGGCTTTATGACATGATTCTTGAATAATTTGAAAAATAAGGTAACAATATTTACAATGTTACAAGAAAGACTCCATTTTGATAATTGATCTAGAAGTTATGTCCTCTTGAAATCATAAAAAACAAACTGATTTTTATACTTAGAAATATTTCTAAGTATGGGACCTCAAAATGGCCTATAATGTTCTTCAAAATTACATGATCTTCCACTCAAAATTTGATCTTGATATCTGAAGATGAGATGAAGTAAACCTATTTATTTGAATTGTGAAATTGAGATCACTCAAAAATCATAAAAATTGAGAGTTATGGTCTTTGAAAGATGATAAACAAATTTGGGAAATTTCACAAAAGATCTATAATCTTTTCAACTCTTCAACAACTTTCCAAGTATTTTCAAGTCTTGCACATTGAAACAAAGTTGTATTAGATACCCCAAATATTGTTGTGGAAAAAGAACGGGCTCAAGAAGATAAAAATTGATCAAGTTATGATCATTTGAAATCAAATCCTAAGATTCAAAGGCTTTTCAAAGAGACTTATAATCTTTCTCAACCATTAGTGATCTTCCATTTAAAATTTGCCTTAGATTCATGAAGAGAGCTTTTTAAGGACCCTTTAAAGAGAATCATGGCTTTGGAGTCAATCAAAGATCTCAAAAAATGAGCAAGATATGGTCCTTAGAAGTCAACAAACCCTAGCTCAGGGAGTGTCAAAATGACTTGAAACCCCTTTCAACTTTTGATGATTTTTCTTGCACAATTGGATCTTGTCATGTGAAGAGAAGTTGTTATAGATGATGATAAGAATCCATAAAAAAAACCAACTCAAAATATTGAAAATTGAGAGAGTTATGCACTTGTGATCACTGAATCAAGCACTTGCTCAATTAGGTCAAACTTGTTGAATCAACCTTGAATCTTTTTTATCTTCTCTGAAAAATAAAGTGTTGATGAATCACAATAGGCCTTGATATGATATTATCTTGAAGTACACTCAAAGATGGAGCTAAAGTCTCAATGAAACTTGTTGAAGAAGGCATGGAAATAAACACATGAACCTATGGATCTTCTTGATAAATGTCACCACCAAGTTTGAGGAACATTTAACCTAAATAAAGTGAGGGAGCTCTTTGAACCACAAATTTTTAATGTCATAGACATAGCCTTGAAGCTTAAGCTCTTGCAATCCATTGAAGAACCACTTGACTGAGGACCACCCCTCAAACTTTAGGTTAGATGGTGAGATGAATGCAATTGTGTCATCACCTACAATATGAAAATTCAAAGATATGTACAAGATACACAATTCAAGGTGTTTGGTGATCCCTCGAAAAAGAGAGAATCAACTCTAATATATGTGTTTTGATGTATTGACAAAAATAAGATAATGAGAGATCTTAGAGATATAAGATCCAATACAAAAACCTTCAACAAAAACAAAGAAATTACAAACCAATCTTTAACACAACTACGAGGAGATACTTAAAAATTATAAAAGTTAAAGTTAGACTTAATAATTTCTCCAATATTTATAATACTCCACTTCCAAACCACTAATTTAATAGACCAAACAAGATTTCCTACATTACACAAAGAATCATTGAATAAAATCTTGTTTTTGTGATTCCAAATGCACCAAATAAGTAGCCAACCATATCACTCCTTCCTCGTCTTCTAGTACTATATTTTTTCAAGATTCTTCCGAAGTTTATAGAGGATTTCCAAACTGGCCCTTCCAAGACTATGTTTTTACGGATCCACTTTCCATACCTTCCCAAACTTTAAGAATAGTTGATAAATTTAGGAAGATGTGTTCTAAGGATTCTTCTTCCTGAAAACGTAACACATAACACGAATCATGACCACCATGCACTATGTTTCTATTTTTCAGCTGCTCTCTACTAGGAAGTATGTCAAGAAATAATCTCCATCCAAAAGTTTTTGTTTTTATAGGCACTTTTGCTCTCCATAATCCTATAAATGCCTCATACTTTCCCTCATACAAATCATCTCTCTGATTGTTAAATTTAACTAAACTTTTCAGTTATATTTACAAAACTCAAATTTAAGAGATTGGTTAAAATTTGATAAGAATGACAAAGCACTAGTTTACAAGTTATGTTTAACTAAACTTTTCTTTAAATTTTTTTGTTTACAAATAGTTATGAATAAAATAATATTTAATATTTCTAGTTCAAGTTTATTATAAATAAAAATAATATCAAATAAAGCAAAATAATTAGCTTCCACAATTAAATAAACTTTAAACAATAATAGAATTGGCTTCCCAAATCTCACTCTTCTTATATTTCTATTATTGAACACAACACATTGAAAAGAAAGCTTTGCATCAAACTTTCAACTTTTCAATCATTAATTTGATTTACAAGACATGATGTAAATTTTATGTCTAATTGAACTAAAAGAAAAAGAGAAAAAATACATACAATGATGATTAAGGGTGGCAAAGCGGCGAACGACCCGTTCCATTTAGGTTTGTCCTGTTTATTTCTGTTTAAAAGTGGGGTGGAACGGAGCGGGCCAATGTAGGGGAGTCTGAGCTCAAAAGTCAAATTCGTCCCGTTTACTAACGAGTTGGCGGTTTAGTAGGTCGGTCCGCCAATTTTTAATTTTTTTAATTTTATAATTTAATTTAATACATAATTTTAAAAAAAAATTATTATTATTAAAGAGGTCGATAAAGAAATTTTTTTAACAACGTATAATAGAACTTCAAGATGTCTTAAGTTCAAACAATTCAAAAAATTTAATAAATAAAGATCAATTACAACAAAATAAACTCAAGCACAATAAAAAATATCAAAATAAATAAACAATACATATCATCATAATCATATTTAAAAACTAACTACTAAAAAAATCCAATTTAGAATTTACACAAAACCAACAATAATAACAATAACATTGCATAAAACATCACAGTGCATAAAATAGTAAGGCGTACTGAACTTCCTTACTGTTTATATTATATAGACTTTTATATTGACTTGTTTTTTAATAGTTAAATCCTAAATTTGTCACACATATACACTAATTAAATCCTTCCTTTTCATAAAATCAACATCTATTTCTAAAGAAAACATCTGAGCTAATATATTGAAACTTAATAATTATGTTGTCATACATTTGTTCTTTTATTTCAATCATTTTCAATCAACGCATGTATTAGAAACTTATAGAAAGAATGTTACAATTATAATTCAATTTGTCTGTATAATAATTTATAATACGATCCTAAGAGATAAGTGTTGTTTTTATAATTAAAATTGTTTTAATTCTTAATAAAAAGAGCAAAAGTTTTAACAAAAAATCTGCGGAGAAAACCCGCTCCACCCCGCCTCGACCCGCTTTTTTAAGCGGGTTAGACGGATGAGTTAATTTAAGATACCGCCGAAAACCTCAGCTCAATCCACTAAAAATGGCAGGTTAAATAGGTCAACCCGACGGACCCAACCCGTTTTGTCACCTCCTAATGATGACCCTATGGATATTTTATTTTAAGACATGGTGCAAACTTTATGTCTAATTGAACTAAAAGAAAGAAACAAATGATCATTAATAAAGTCTCATCAAGAGGAATACATAAGAAAACACAAAGATACAATAGTGAAAAACAAACACATGAAAAAGAAACACATAACTAGCTTTTCCTAGATACAAATTCTAAATCATACTTTCCAACAACATTCACTCCAAAAAGGTCTCCATAACATCTGAGTACATGCCACCTTCTGAATTCCTATACTCCACACCTTGTTGTTGATGATGATCCATTGAGGTAGATGAAGATGATGAAGCAACTCTTGTAGGTAAAGTGAAACTTCTCTTAAATTTGTCCATTTTCCTTCCACCATCATGGTGACTATCCAAGCTCAAAAACTCATTTGGGTTTGAACCATCTGAATTAGGATTTTGATTAAGAGGGTGATGATGATTTTGATGATGATTATGATCATGATCACTTTGTTTTCCTCCTAAGTTCTCTGGATTAAACAAAAGCTTAGCATCGTCAGCTCTACCAGTTAAAGCATTAAAGAAAGACAAACCATTTGGCCATTTAATGTCATTTTCATGATGTTCTCCTCCTCCCATCATGTCTTCAATTCTTGGAGTTTGATCATGCGATGATGCATGAGGCATGAGAAACATGTGTGTTTCATCTTTGGTTTGTGGAAAACCAAGCCTAGCTGCATGTTGTTGAAAATTGGGTGAAGATAGCATGGATGAAGGAGAAGATAGCGGTCTCTGACCCCAGTTGAAGAGTGGCGGAGGTGGCCTAATTGGAAGGGTGGTGGAAGATGGTTTTGAAGGAAGTGAAGTTGATGAGGAAGTGTTCCTTGTTGATGAGAAAAGCTGTGAGAGATAGAAACCAGATTGGTAGCCTAATGATTCAAATGTGTGCCTCATTCTTAGGACAAAATGAAGATCCTCAGGAATCTGAAAAATAGAATCGCAAATATCAAACACTATTTGTCTTTTCATTTTTATGTTAGATCCTTTGACCTAATGAATAGCCAAACCAATGCAAACTACATCAAAGATTCCATGCGGTCGAGATGTCTGCATTCACACACTCATCACACCAGTTTCCGGTGGATCAAGATAAGTCTGAATGAGTTTCTAGATCGGTGCGTGAATGTAGAGTTATCTCGACCGCATGGAATCTAAGGTTGTGAGTAGAATGTACTTACAATCTTGCAAGAACCAAGTTGAAGAAGACCATGGCCAGCTTGGATTACAGCTATGGTCTGGTCAAGGAAGCAAAATAAAATGAGTTGAAAAAAAATCTATAAAAACATACTCATCCTTTTTAAGTTGTTTTGAGAGCAATAATAATAGCAAAAACCAAAGCTAGTACTAGTAACAAACTAACAATGATTCAGTTATCTGACCTGAATGCCTGACTCAAATTGGTCTGTCCATTCAGGAGGAAGCTGCAATTAATATCAAAAAGAGGTTGAAACCAAAATCAATCAATCATCATCATCATCAAAATAGCCAATAAAAAAACAAACAAAAAAACAAAAATTTAATGCTAAAGTCTCCATCTAAAGACTACTACTAGTTAAGTAAGACAAGGGAAAAAAAATCAGAGAAGTAGAAGTGTGATTGGATGTAGAAGAATACATACAGCATCAAATGAACTCTGCCAGTAGTTAGAGATGTTTGGTTCACATTCTGTTGGCTCTTTAAAAACCCATTTGTGACACTTATCAGATGCAACTTTCCCCATCAGCCTGTTCCAAAAACAAACAACAACAAAAAAATTCAACCAATCACAACATAGTAGTACAAAGAACAAGAATTTATGCTTATGTTTATGTTTATGTTTGTGTAACAGTAACAGTAACTTTCTCCACATGTACAAGAATCAGATAGAAGAAAAAAAAGAGGGAGAGAGAGAGAAAGAATAAAAGCAAAAGATAACAAACAAACAAACAACAAACAAACAAAGACCTACCCAGTACCCACCCTTCTCCATAATTATACAACTGAATGGACATTTTGCTGAAAGCTTTTCTAACAAGATCTTCTCCATCAATATCTTCAACACAACCTGATGATGAACCTCTTCCTCTACAAAATCCATCTTCCCACATCAACATCCTTAAAAACCACAAACAAAAAATGCATGTCATATTATGTTACCTTACCTCCTCAAAAACATTATGATAAAACACAAATAGAGATGAAATTAGTACTTACAAGCTACCGTTATCATCACCAACTTTACAGCCATTACCACCTCTAACTCTACTGCAAGAAATGGACAAGACCCAGATGAGAAAAAAAGAGATATAGTATTAGGAAGTAGGAGTAAGAAAGAATGAAAGTTGTAGAGAGAGAGAGAGAGAGAGAGAGAGAATACGGGCGAGGACGAATAGTCCAGAAGACAGAGTAAGTCCAGTCAGAGTTAAGACAGACGGTTCTGAGGGCCTCATGAAGGGCCATCATCCCAACAGCTTCTTTGCTCCTATCAAATGTTGCTCCTGAGCCCACCATCTCCTTCTCTTTCTTTCTCTATCTATCTCTCTAATTTCTCTCTCAACTATATACTACTACTACTACCTTTCTTCTCCTACACTGTTGTGTTCTTTTGTCTAATGTCTATCTACTATATCTATCTATCTTTCTCTCACAACTCTAATTATTTACCCTTTTTTATATTTGTAATTTTTTTTCTTCTTTTTTTCTTTCTATTTTATCTACTCTATAATGTTTAACCACCACAAACAAGACTAGTTCTTCATATTTTTCTAAATTATTTATTTATTATAGCAAACTTTTGGTTTTTATTCCTGTAAAAATATGTTTTGTTTTTACACTTTGAAAATATTATTTTTTTTGTTTTTATTTGTTATATTTTATTTTAACTGTAAAATTTATGGATTTTAGAACTGATTTATGTAAAATTATTATTAAATTATTTAATGTTAATTATTTAAAATAGAGATGTTTTTATAATATGTACTATCTAGTGTTTCATTATAAAATCTTAATTTGTTTAAATAATAAGACTAATTTACAATTGTTTTAGAGATTAATGATTATGTATTATCAGTATAAAGAGTTTTATAATATCAATCAATTATAGTTATTAATAATTATTATTTTATATATAATTAAAATAAGATCAGATATAATTTAAAATTTAACAGTTATAATTTATTATTAGTCTAAAAACTTTGACTACCAACATATTTTCATTAAATTCATTGTTTTATAGTCGTGATGACACATGACCATTAAATAAGTACTGTATTTATGATTTGCCTTTTTTTTCCTAGCTGGTGCTTTAACCATTGATATAGAACAAAATAATATCAATAAACATATTTTGAAAATTTTAAACAAAATAGTGAATATTAATATTAAAAGATACTATATTTGTAAGGATGGTAAATTATAAAAAAAATTATAAAAATAATAATCAAAACTATTAATATTTGCACAATGAAATTGGATTCTAATAATGTGATGGAATTAATGATATTTATTTTACACATTGAAAATGAAAAAGTGAGTTCTGTTTTATTTATTTTAAGCATTAATGTAATTTTAGTTTTTTTTTGTTTTTATTAAATATAACTTTTAATTTTATTATTATTATTAATAATATTTAACCTGATTAAAACCTAAATTTTGAGAAAAATACTTAAGTCTAAGGCTTTTTTGAAAGATGAGAATAGAGTTTTTAAAAAATTTCATGAAAGATGTGAAGAACAAAGAGTTGTGCTAATGACGATTTTATATTATAAAAAATGCTGGGTCAAACAATCTCAATGTTAAGAAAAGAAACCAAAAATATGATTTTAAATAGGAGCTAAAAATTCATTGTTTTCATAATAAATGAATAAAAAATAATTTAAAACATTTATATACTCTCATTTGTTTGAATCAAAGGAGGTTTGTTTGTTTACTTTGTGAGAAGGTGGTAAAAAGAGTGATGAAGAATTGCTTTACTAAAGAGATTTTTTATATAAAAACAAAATTGGAATAGTTTGGTACGTTTTTAACCATGAAAAATATGTGGGGACAGCTTTTATCTTCTTTTTGTGTCTTTTTTTATGGTTTTTTTAACAAACAGCAAAAGCAAAGAAGAAAAAGTGATCAGCAAAAAAAAAGTTAGAATCTGCTGTCCAATTATACATATTTACTCAAGAGCCTAAATTTTGGACAAGAATGCACTACTTATTATTCAAATTTTAATATGTTTTTAATATTTAAATTGAGCCAAGTTAAATCCTAGGGTGGAACAATCTGTTAGTTTGGATCGATGACATATATTGCGGTTTCATTTTAAAGCTTAATTTTGTCTAATAAAATTTTAATTTTTGACGAATTTAATTAAATCAATTTGATGGATAAATTTAATGGATTTGATTGGTTAAATATTTATAAAGTTTATAAATATTTATTTTAGTTTTTTAAAAAATATTAAAATTTTAAAATAGTCTAAAGAAAAACATTTTTATTTTAATAAATTATTATTATTATTGATAATATTTTCAATATTATTTAACATTAATATAATTATTATTATATTCTAAATTACAAATTAAATAATATTTAAAATTTTATATTATGTGTTTTTTTAAGTGCACAATGATATTATTAAATTATAAAAATAATAATAAAAGAACAATATTATAAATTTTATTTTTATAGAAAATCAATCATAAATATTAATTGTGTTTAGTCAAATTCGATTTTTGACTCGTCTAAAATAATTTTCAAATGTAACCAAAAACAACTTTATGGTAACCAAATTAAACAATAGATTAATTGAACATCTAAAGTTGATCTGTTTTAAAATAAAAAAAAGCATCTGTCAATTTAATCTGACAGTTAAAATTTATTTAGCTCTAGTTAATAATGCACTTGCTTTTTTTAAAGATAAAAAACAACTTTATAGATATGATAAAGGCATATAAAATGCCAAAAAAACATTGTATACAAGAGATTCAAACACAATGCAAATACACAAACTCAATGAAGGCTTTCACCTAAACCACAATTTTGACTAAAATGCTATACTAAATGAAATGCCATTACATATTTATTACTCAGCCACTCAATACACTTGATTTATGTTCATTCTTTGCATGGAGGAATTCCACAATTTGGTGATTTCGAAATAAGATTTCTTTACGAAATATTTTGATGACCTCCATTTAAAACCACATTAAAAGAGTTATTTGTGGAAAAGGATTCTCTTTGATGGAGCTTTCAATGAATATGATGTAGTGGAAATCTTTATCTTTTAAATTCCTTTCTTCATGTTTTTTTGTATTTTAATGTTTAAATTGTATTTTGTTTTATGTGAATTTTGCGGGAGACAATCTATTGTAGTTATGGAATTTCTTTTGTTATCTAATAGTCTTCTTTTAAATGTCGGATGAAAAACTTTAAATATTCTTAGAATCTATATGTGTAAATGTGAATGTAATGTATTGTATAATAATAGGTGACTTCACATGTGCATCTACAAATTAATTTATAATTTGTCAAAAACACATTGATTTCGCATGTACATCTGCGAAGTTATCCATAATTCCTCATTTCGTATGTACACATGCGAAGTGTGTGAATTGTATTGAATTAAACGAACAGAACAGACTCCTCAAACCCTTTTCTATTCAAACACCAAAGCTTCTCATTTTCTTCTCTAAACCCTAACATTTCTACTACCAAACTCACCCATTTATTCATCTCTCCATTTCAACTCTTTTCAAGTCATCCCAAATCATCTCCAAGCTTTCAAATTTGTGTAAGTTTTCTCCAAATTAATTTGATTCACAATGCAATCTTGTAATAGTTTATTAGGTTAGTTTATAAAAATTACATTGTGTACATTGGTGTTAGAATAGTTAAATGTAGTTGTTTGGGTGACAATAAAATGATATTTTTTGAAAAAGTCATAAAAAATGTGTCTGTTTAAAAAATAGTGGAATGATGTGGTTTTAAAAAAAAAATGTATCAACATAAAAATAGTGGAGTTAGTTTTTCAGTTATTTTCTTGTTAATGCCAGCTGTGGTAAGTTAGTAATTTTCCTCTTTTGCCCTTGTATCCTTTAGTATATATGATTGTACAACATTGGTTCAATAACGAATAATGAGAAATTCTGCCATTACTATTCTTTTCTCTTCTTCAATAAATAATTTCTCTATTACCAACATGGTATCAGAGCAGTCATTTGTGGTAGTCAATTTAGTGATTGAGATTAAATTGACATGAAAGTCGGAAATATATAGAACATTGTAAAGAGTTAGGGATGGTGATATGACTATGGTTCCAGAAACAGAAGTTGTAAGATGAGAACCATTAGGCAAAGATACAGATATTGGCACGATGGATTGATAAGATGTAAAGCTAGCTAGGTGAAAAGAAATGTGGTATGTTGCTCCTGTGTCTAAAATCCAAAGATTGTGATGCTTATCAGTGTTGGGAAAGGCTTGGGAAGTGGAAGCAAAGGGTGAAGTGGTGATGACATTAGCAGTAGGTTGAGCTTGTTGAGATTGTTGAAGCATGGCACGGAGACTCTGAAATTCCTCTTGAGTAAACCCAAACATAGGTGTGGAATTTTCCTCAGACTGAGCAGTAGTGTGTGATATGGTGTTGGCATGAGATTATGAGGAACCTTGAGTATTAGATGCAGGCTTGGTGCGGTTTCGATACCCCGGTGGATATCCATGTTTCACAAAATAAGTATCCACAGTGTGATTTGTTCGACCATAGTGAGTGCATACTTGATTGCCTCCTTTGGTTGAGGAAGAAGAACCTTTCCATTTGTTTGGTGCCACACCCTTATTTTGAGTGTTAACATGAAGAGCAATGACACTGGCTTCAGAAGAATCCAAAGGAGTAGCAGAATTTAGTTCACGTTCTTGTTGAATGACCAAAGAAAAAGCTTTGTCAATGTCAGGAAGAGGTGTCATCATCATGATCTGCGACTTTGAGTGAGAAAAACGATCGTTCAAGCCTTTCAAAAACCTAATCACGTAATCCTGCTCGCGATAGGTTTGTGCAGATGAAATTGCACCACAAGAACAAGCGATAGCACATGTGCAGCAAGGGAGAGGACGATAGTTCTCCAATTCATCCCAAAACACTTTCAATTGTGTGAAATATTCAGAGATATCAAGAGTACCTTGGCGGAATCGATACAAATCTTCTTGAATATCCGAAATTCGAAAGATGTCGCTCTGTGAAAACCTAATTCATAAATTCTTCCAAACTCCAGCTGCTGTATCAATCCACAAGACAGATTTCGCAATCGATTCAGAAATTGAACGCTGAATCCAAGAAAGTACCATTGTATTGCAGCGAATCCATTGCGCATAGAGAGGATTGGAGACCGGTGGTTTGGGAAAGGTACCGTCAACGAATTATTCTTTGTTCTTGGAAATCAATGCGATGTGCATGGATCTTGACCAAGTGTGATAGTTCTTGTTGTCCAATGGTGGAGCAACAAGGATGAGCGTCGGACTTTCGTTCGGAT